GTAGGTATAGCACCCAAAATTACCAGTTTCAGGCATGACGTAGTGAGGCAATACCCACCTACATCCGGGGCTCTTTATGCCGCCTAGATGGCTAGTACGACTCTGGGGGCTAACCCAGGCTCTGACTTTAGAGGGTATGGATTTGGAGGATATGAGGAAGAAGATGGGATGAGGGTACAGGGCTCCCTGTTACTGCCAGACCGAGATAGTTGCGTCTCGAGAAGGAAGTAGGGACAGCTGTAGTAACGCGACAGCAACACGGAAACGAAAATCATTTTTCCTGAGTTTGCAAAAGTCTGATGCTGGGCTTCTGTGAGAATGTAGATGACGCTATAGTTGATGTGGTACAGCATCAGTAAGGCGCGTTCAGAGATTGAAGAACAGGGAGTACTTACCCTGAATGTTGCACAGTAGAACTAACAAGCCCAGACCAACCATCCAATCCACCACGCTGGTTTGTATATGGGCCTATTGTCACCATAAGCACGCTCGCGACTTTGTGGAAAGGACGACACAAGAGTCGATAGTGGGCATGAGCAAAGGGAGCGTGCGGAAGTCGTAGTGCTTGGGGGAATTCATGGTTGCGGTATGAGGACAATAGACAAGAAAGGAGGTTGGGGTGTCGCGTAGAAGCTTGTCCTGCGGAGTCTTGAGAGGTGAGGACAGGAAATGTGTAGCGTGAGGGCGAGGATGCAAGGATAGAGCACAGGCGACTGGACGCGTTGTCGTAATGAGATGTGTAAGACCTATGTCAGCGCGACTGAGGCCTAGTGTCGTTGACTGGTGTTGTGTGGAGGTCTTGTAGCGGGAATGGGATGGTGGTGGTGTCGGGGAGCGTGTTTCAGGACGACGGTGATTGAGGACAGCACATCTTGAGAGGTATATATGGCGTTCTGGGCTTGTGTTTGCTATGAGTGACAGTGAAAAAGGTAGAGTAGTGTACATACCGGAATCTCGATTTCATGCCTTGAACGATTCGGAATCGAAGTCGATTCCTGCTAAGATGCTAGAAGGTGTATTAGATCTAAAAACGGTGCAAAGAGGACAGTTGAACATACCTCTATAGGCTTGCAGAGACGAACACCCTTTGAACGAGGTGAGCGTTTTGAGCAAAAAAGTGCCGGCGGCATAGTGCACTCTCAGTCACAGTGTGACCCGACGTCTTATTCCTTTACAATTACTACAATGGTGCACCACCGCAAACGCAGTCTACAAGACAAGCCTGTTAATCTTTCGAAGATGCAACAGGTTTTGGAAACGCTGGCTGCGCTGAAGGAAGAGTTGAAAGGTATGGAAGAAACCGAGGAAGAATTACGCTCCATTACCGAACATGTACACGCCTACTCAAGGGTACCCAGAAACTAGTAAGTGCGTTGACCGCTTTTTGCCTCATACTATAATTCACGATGTTTTACGGAGCAACCTTCTTGACTGTTACAGCCCACCAGCTCAATTTAGCTGGTATCGAAAAGGGGCATCTGGCGTTTAAATCCACAGAACTTGCCAGTGGATTTGATGCAAATGCGCTGAGGGAGATTCATGACCTTCGGACTCGGTTGGTCAAGATTTACGACCACGTTAGCATGGATGTACGTGTCAGATTAACGTCTTTTCTGGTGCGCCCAATCATTTGTAGTAGGGAGCAGGTTTACGAATGGTTTTTGAAGCAATATTAATTGCGTTGGCGGTTAAAGGTCCAGAAGACGGGGTCGCCATCGTCCCAGGGTTGAACCTAGGGCAGGATGAACCGATGCGGATTGCGAACCCTACTTCTGAATACGAATTGTGGTTGAGCGGCAAGGTTGACTATGCGGTGATGATGTATAAAACGGACGAGGATAACAAGGGTGAGCTTGATTGTTCTCTGCCTTCCTCATAGTCAGTTGACGATTGTTCGTGTATTTCTTAGACAGCTTGGTTGGTCCTGGTGGAGCCAGAGAAACCTCAATCGATCTTGCACAGGGCTGTCTGTTCCTCGTTGAACCCAAGCACCTCAATCTCCAATACGGTTTAGATGACAGTATACCAGAAGCAGTCAGCCAAGCGATTGCACTTTTGAAGCTTGCTCAGTATGTCAATTCCATCTACAGAGTCTTCTGAGTTCACCCAGGTTCACCCCCATAGACTCTGAGGTTCGCTTTTGTCTGACCAACGGACAGTACTGGAAGTTCCTACTCCTGCGATCGGAGAACGGTGTTTTGAAATACTACGAATCAGGACTACGCTCTCTCGACAAAGACCTGGCGAGCTCGGATAAAGAGTTGCGCAAAATTATGGCGCTTGTGTGTGAATGGGTAGGTCTCTTTCTATGCCTTTGGCACAGGATACTGAAAGACTCTGTCTTAGTTGAAGCCCACTTGTACCGATCATTTGTTTTCTCTCAGATAGCGCCAATGTAGTGGGTACTTGTATAGCAAAAGAGTACTTACCCGAGTTACGGTGTTCTGTGAAGTACACCCTTCGCATCTTAGACGCGTACGATGTTCAGAAAACCCATATCCAACACGTATGGACGTAGTTTTCATTCGCTATTGCTTGCTCCACGGTCACCTAATCATATTTCTCTTGTCCACCTCGACTGTGTTCCATACACACCGAATGTCCATGACAGCCATCACCACAAGAACAAACCAACCACCAACCAACAACTCCAGGCACAACAGCAGTCAGCGAAACAGCGAATGGAACGGATGTCATTCCCACAAGAGATACAGGATCCCTACAAAGAAAAACAACACCGCAGCTCCAAGCACCAACGTCATACGAAGAACATTTCGTCGCAAGACAGCTTCTTTTGGCGGCTGCTGCTTGCACGCAACTCCGCAGAAGGCGGAGCTGAGACTAAGCCCTAGGCTCATGAACCATGAGCAGTTGATAAAGATCGTGGACGCATCAGTCCGGAAAGCTGTAGCGGTCTGTGATGCGTTTGGTTGTGGGAGTAGGAGCACCTGTTGGAAGCCTGAGGGTATAGCCGACGTAGCCGTGGCAATGACTGGATCCTTCTCAAGCTTTGGATACGGTCCGACGAGGAATGCGACAACAACGAAACAAGACCGCAGTTCCAAGCACCGATGTCATACGAAGAACATTTCGTCGCAAGGCGGCTTCTTTTGGCTGCTGCTGCTTGCACGCAACCCCGAAGAAGGTGGAGCTTAGACTAAGCCCCAAGCTCATGAACCAAAAGCAGTCGATAAGAATCGCGAGCCCATCAGTCTTGAAAGCCATAACGGTCTGCGATGCGTCTGGTTGTAGGAGTTGGAGCGTCTGTTGGAAGGGTAAAGCCGTGGTAATGACTGGCTCCTCCTCGAGCTTTGGGTACGGTCCAATGAGGAATGCGGTAGCAACGATAGAGAGAAGAACGCCCTGATGGTCTAGTGTTAGATATATTCACATAGTATGCGTGCCGACTTACAAAGACGATTAGGGTATCGAGGTCATCTTTCAACGCCTTCATCCGTCCTTCGTTTGAGGCGATTGCTCTCTCGGATGATCTATCAACAACTGGTTTCGTGCCTATCGTCTCCTTCGTCGGCTCAGCCGTCCCATGTTGGACCCGAACCCGAACAATGCCTCTTGTCGGCTTTTGTTCTGGCATACTTCCGGTACCGCTTGCCTTTGTACTCTAAGCAAACGGTCAGCAAAATCTGCGTCTGGCGAAGGGTTTCATGGTACGTACCATTCCGAACGGTTCCCAATAGCAAAGTAGATGGTAAAGGACAAACAGCGCGAGATGTGACTGGGCTTCTTGACCCACAGCTAATGGATCGCGGATCCACTATATAAGGAATGAGTAAATGGTGGTGAAAGAAAGAATGGAGGGCCACATACATGTGTAATGGCGGTAATTAGAAAGGTCTAGATAAGCGTTGAGCGCTGAAGCCTTTGAAAGCAACTGCCAAGCACCCGACTATCACTATTCGAAAGAGCTTCCGACTATGCGCATTGACCTGTGAATTAACGAAACTAATAGCAATTGTCAGCGTTCGGTCGTCTGACAATACGGGATAACGTGTCTCACAAAGTCAATGCTTCTCCTAACCACGTACGCTATCCTGTACCCTCATCCTCCACGACGCCCTGATGTGCTAAGTTCCAGCAACCCTTTAAACGGGATCCTGATGCTGCCTGGTCCCATGAACTAGTGGTTTATAGCGCTCCTAAGGTTCTAATATGAAACGCCGTTTTGAGAGGAATGACCAGCAAGGCGGCGTGTATGACGCGCATCCTTGTCCGAGCCTGGATAGGTTTTCTTAGGCAGACCGTTGTTTTTGGCATGGGGTGCACGGTGAATCCGGGGTGTTCCGGTCAATGGAAGGAATAGATATTTGTTCCAAGCTGCGTATCTTCATGCATAAGTTGTCGAATTCCGAGTGTAGATCACTAGGTGTGATGCCAATTCCAATACCGCGGTATTCGCACCTGAAGGAATGGGTATGAAACCACCAAGTACAGTGTGGTGGTAGTGGGAAGACAAGAAACACAGCTGAGATGTGGAATTAGCAGTCCAATACTCCCCTGCCCTATCCAACGAGGTACGAGTGATTGTGTCGGCTTACAGGAGACCACTCCCCCACCCGACCCGAATACCTCGACATCTCGACCCCAAACACCACCTTCCAACAGCAAAACCCATACCCTGACAAACTTCGGATTCCGGAAACACCTTCGACGCATGGTGGTCCCGACTCCCGGGTGCTCCGAGTCAACTGCTGTATCCCAAAAATTTCGACCATAATTACGCACGGGACTCAAGGGTGAGCTTGCCGGTGATGGGTTGGGAGGCAGGCTAGGGAGATATGCGTTTTTGGGTAATGAGTGGTTGCGTTCATAGGTGAGGCCTTGAGGGCGTAGGTGACCTCCTTGCTAGCGTTGGTGTAGGGTGTGTAGGGTGTAGAGTGGGTGCGCGGTCGCAATGAAATGTCGTCGTCGTTTGGCGATCGATGGTGAAGGAATCGTCTATACGTCTCCGTTTTAGCGCGTGTACCTAGACCAAAAGCATCTCCCCCTTAGCTCAGCGGTAGAGCGCTTCACTAGTATCTTCGGGGAAAAGTCCGTGTTATCATGAAGAGGTCAGTCGTTCAAGTCGGCTAGGGGGAACTCTGAGGGTTCAAGGACATTTTTGTCGAATTTCACGGTGCAAAAAGGGGGGGCCGAAGCGGCATTATGTTCTGGAACTAGTCATTAGACCTCAAGATTGACTGAGAGTACGAGAAAAGGTGTCTTACATCCGAAAGAACCTCGAGAGTCGATGCCTCCGTTGACTCTTGAGCACGCACTCTATCCAGACCAATTCCACCCTCATCTTCTACTACACCCTGATGCTCTGAGCCCCAACGTATGTTCATCATATGGCTTTGAGCTTCAGTTTGGATTAAGAATTGCGCGTCTTGGAAGCTTGAGCCGTCATTGGGAGTCGTCGAATTCTGAGTCAACGACGACATCAACCAGCTAGACTAGGCGCGTCCAGAACTTGCTCGGTGCAACCTCCAGCTAGCTCTTGAGTCCAAAATGGAGTCGATTTCTCTGGGATTCTTCAATGCAGTCGTCGTCCTTCCTAATCTTGTTTCGTGTCAGATTTAGAGTGAGCTGAATCAAGAGCCTGGCTACAACGCACCCAGACCAAATAAACTGTACAACACCTTGCTCTTGGAGGACTACTAGACCAGTCGTGTTTGCATTTTTATACGCGGGATCCCAATTCCAAGACCAATATGCACAGCTGTAGGAATGTTTATGAAAACGATCGAGTGGAGGTGTAGTGGTGGTGGAAGACAAGGAACGTTGAGCGCTTAGGCAAGCAAATGTCTTCCGCAACCCATCACTAAACCCTCAATCTCTTCCACCAATGCAGCCGGAAAGAAGAAATTGACCAGGGATAAAACTAGTCTGAAGGTACGTCAAGTTATCTAACTTTCTATACCTGTGTTCCTGGTCTCACCTTCAGTCCTAACGAATGCAGTATTGCTTCCACTATTCAATCCTACTTACCATTATTGACTGGAAGAACACCCCGCCGACCGCAACATCACACCTCTCATGCGCTCAACGTCTCGATACAACCTAGACGCGAGTTGCCTACAAGCACCACGCCAAACCTGAACATCCCCGACAACAGCTACGACAGCTTTCTTGTGCTCTCCGCAGCTCCGTCAACGATTACCGTAGATTGAAATACCGGATTACCGTCGAGGGATTGAAGGGTTTGGCGACGTCAGCCAGGAGAGTTCGATATATCTATAATAGGTACGCTAAATAGTTCTGCATGCTACATACTTTCACCAACTCAAAACCTCTCCAGACCTCAGAACATCCATACACCGCGCACAAAATGCAACAAGAACGACGGTTGACCATCTATCCCGCAATTTGAAGCCTACACGCCTCCACAAATTAGGAACTCACTTTGACGGTTTGGGGCCGTTTAGATATTCCACTCTATTAGTACCCCCATCATCCAGACAACTCTTGTTCCGCTACGTATAGAAAAGCAATAAACTACATTGATATTTGACACTTCAAGAATGGGATAGCGAAGAGAAGAAAGGGTAACAAAGCAAATCCACAGAGTTGTAAAGCGAGGAACGACAAAGCTCGCACATAGTCAAGGTATCTTCTGGTGTCCATATCCCCAACCAAAACCATCTAGCCCTTTACGTATCTTCCTCTTCGCCACCTCTCTGATTCTCTACACCACCTAGAATACGATGTTCGCTATCGCCAGGAACTAACATCAAAGAACTCGTTCCAGGTCGTCGTTCCGACTCAGGATCAACCCCTTCCGTCACTCTAGGCGATTCTCTACCGGCAGCGATGGTTGAAGAACCCAGAGACACTACATCGCTTGGGTCAGGACCTCGATGCTCTTCGGAATGTGATACCAAAGTCGGAAGGACCAGCAGATGTTGTAGCGTCTGGGAGTGCCGGTGAACGTCGGCAGCGTGAAGCAATGAACCCGAGGGTTGTTTACTCGTTGTTACAAGCATTCGTAGCGGTGAATGTTGCAAAACGTTTGCATGTCGTCCACCGGTCGACTTGACAGCAACTTCCATTAATGGCGAAAGATACACTGCGACGGTTTGGAGGAGCGACAGAGAGGTTTCAAAGTCCGAGTCCGTATCTCCTGCACCAATGGCTCTCTCCGTATCTGGCACACGAGGTCCGTCGGTGCTTCTACGATGTCAGAGAGACACTGGTAGGACTACATAGTGACTTGATCCGTCTCCTTGGAATTTCGACCTTTCCATATCCTTCAATTTGTCGGGTTCATCTTCAAAATCGACATAGTTCTTCGGAGCCTCAGCCGATATGCCATCAACAATCCGCGAACATTGGTTGATGTGGAAAGGAGAATGGCCCGGAAAGTGACGCAGACCTGGAGTTGAAATCGATGACCTGGGCATGGCAGTGGGATTCGTCTTTCCTAGGAGCGAGGGAACGAGTGAGCTGAGACTCGGTTCTTTGCGCGTATCCTGAACCAAAGAGTGTGAGGCTAAGAAATGGAAGCGTTAAACTACACACTGAGTTACCAGAGCTTGGATCTTTTACATTCACCGTTGTCTTTGATTTAGGTTTCGACTGCTGCTTCCAGAGAGGCTGGCACATCTTCATATCGATGACCGGTTACTATGCTTTTTTGAAGCTCGGCGAATAAAGCGTCGCTCCAGTTCTCTGCAGGGGGATGTTTCTTTCTGATGATAGACGCTGAAGGCCTTAGGACGCGCCATAGGCTCGGCCTTCCAACAGTTGTTAATCAATGACCATCATGATAACGGCTCTGGTATGTTGACATCTGGAGATTTCGGAGGTCGTTCCCCTCGTAAAACCGCCATTATAAATCGTGAGATCTTTCTTTAGCGTATAGAACGGAAGAAGGCCCGTCATAACCTGACACTTTTTATTAGGAGTTCTCTTGGAGCAGGCAGAAAAAAACAACGAACCTCGTAGAAAAGGCATCCACACGAACTTGAATGGATATTGCTCTCTGTCGTCGGTGTTTGTCCATTATGTACTTCAGGGGCGCTCCATCGTGCAGTACCTCCTGGTTGCGCACTGAAAATTTGGGAATCTGCAGTACTGGACAAGCCAAAGTCACCAATACAAGCTCGGTAGGATGTTGCGATCAGAATATTAGCCTATATGGTTTCGGGTACGTCAGTTCAGCGGGTTTGGATGCTCAAGATTTGATAACCTACGCTTTTGAGGTCACCGTGAACAATTTTCAGGGCGTGAAGGTGAGACAGATCGCTGGCATTAGCTGGAAATGGTCGACGGATTCTCGCGGCTACTTCCAGTGAGAAACTCGGCGAGATTTCCATCCTCCATCCAAGGTAATACCAAGCAAACACGCTCCTTGGTATCGTCAAGGTAGTATAGCCCAAGACAGAGAAGAAGATGAGGGTGTCTGAGCTCCCGTTAAATGATTGCCTCGCGAAGGTGATTCTTCCATCATCGAGGTGAATGCGTGGTTACGAATGCGTTGAGAGCGATACGCACCTTGAGGAGATATTGCATATCCGACATGAGATTCACTCTGGCGACTTTACACACACACAAGTTGCCCCTTCAATCCTTCAAGTCGCCCTTTCCATATATCGCCGATTGAACCACCGAAAGCGACTGGGTTGTTTCCAAGTCTGGTAACACCTCGAATCGTCAAGCAGCTCGGGCCTCTTCGAAAGACGAACCATTGAAGGCCGTAACTCGTTTGGAATCCGGGGCATCGATCAACTGAGGGAGTTTCTCAGTCAGCAATGTCTACTGAGATACTAATTTCTGAGAACACAAGGACAGTTCATACCTGTTGTAACCAGTCTAGAAACGACTGGGAAAGGTCGCCCCTCTGACCTAGCAGTTCTCCATAAGCCTTTCTGTCCTGGAATGGCAGCCGTAGTATTTTGAGCTCGTACTCGTAGATGGACTACACGTAGGTGGTCGATATGATAATCCGATAGTCGTGTTCATGCTAGGTATGAGTGACCGAGTCTGCCTAGGGGAGACTATGTTCATGGGGAGTTAAACCACCTTCTTTTCATAGAACCCGGACTACAGCCGTAGAGAATCGTACCAAGAACAAGCGGCTTAGATGTTAGGAAGTGAACGGAGATGCATGAATACGAGTGATATTGAGTGTGGTGGTAGTGAGAAGACAAGAAACGTTGAGCGCTTGCTTGGGCGAGCCAATGTTTTCCACTACCCCCATCAGCACACCGGTACCTGGAACTGCGACACACAGCACACCGTGTCAACTCCCTAATTCCTGGCACCAATAAAACTGGAAGAACATGATCATTGATTGTAAAGGTACGTCAAGTTATTCGACCTCTCTTCCGCTGTATGGCCTCACGCGCACGCTCCAAACCTGTAGCTTCTCCAAGGCTTTTTGGTCATTATCACTTCCACCATTCTATCCTGAGTACCATCGGTCAGAAGAACACCCCACCGACCACAACATCAAACCTCTCATATGCTCTACGTAGACTCGAGTTGCTCACAAGCACCGAGCCCAACCTAACCATCTCTCCATCCTCCAAGACAGCTACATCGCAATTCCGCCAATCATCTTCGTGGATTCAAGCCCTATACTACCGCCGAAGGATTTGGGAAACAGGGGAGGTTAGCCAGGGGAATTTGATACACATATAGGTACGCCAATCGTTCAGTCCGCTACACTGCACTTTCCCCAATGTTCAAACACTCTCCAGGCCTCCTGTCATCCATAATCAAGCTACTCAAGACCCACCGTTGATTGCTGTTTCGCAACTTCGCCCCCACATATCTAGAATCGCGTCCCTTTGACTCCCTTTGAAGATTCAATGTGCCGTTCCTGTCATCCAGACGACTCTTGTACTACTACCCTTGCAAAAGCAATACATTGATATTTGTTACTTTCGAAGAATACAATTTGGGATATTGAAAAGAAAAGAATACATGGCGAAATGCAAGTCCACAGTTCGTAAAGCGAGCAACGACGAGGCTCGTACATAAAGAGTATCTTCTGGCTTCCATATCCCCATCCAAAACCACCTAACCCTTCTCGCTACGCAGACGGCATCCCTCAACTCCGCTATACCCTCACGCACCCTTCCCTTCACCACCTC